AAACAAACATTGAACAAAGGAAAGATAGTAGAAAAATGAAGATTTGCACCGCAGCATCTTATTTCCATGTCTAAGTTGAACAAATGCTGTGCCCCAGGAAACTGCTGCACACCGCGCCCTTCACTCTCTGACGCAATTCCCTGGACCTCTGCTGAATCCTGCTGTCACTAGGCAGCAGCCTGCGGTGGCTTTAGAGCCACTGGAAAGGAAGAGGGAAATCGTTACTGAACCTCCATAAAATGTTCAGTGGCCTTAAATCAAAACCCATAGGTTTATAGACCAAAAGTAAGTTTACATAAGTGAAATAATTTGGAGAGAAGCAACATAACGGGGTTGAAAGGAAATTAAGCAAGTTTAAATGTTGACTGCATTAAAAATTGCAGAACTGCTTTTTAGGATTTCTGTTTACTCTCCTCTAGCATATAAAGAACTAGACATGGGCTGACTGTAAACTGAACTTCTGGTATGTCATTATAATCAAAGGCAAATGTAAAGTTCTGAATACAGGTGAAAGGATGCATGATCCTAAACCTGATCTAAACGAACACTCTGTCTACATAACTTTATGGGATAATGCATAATTGTAACTGAGTATAGCATTTTCCTCCCGAGGGACAGTGAGGACCCTAAGGCAAGAATTCGACACTGCACATAGAATTTTCTATTAAATCGTGTGTATTTTACACCATTGACAGTAACCACATGAACTTGACTCATATTGTCCTTATTCCACCTAAAAAACAAGCAAGATTTTGCAAGTTTACCATTAAAGTTAATGGTAATATAACAGCATTCTCGGGTAATTGTAAATAGAGGTCTTCCTATATCCTGACAACTGTCACGATATCTTCATTAATATATATTTTGGGGAAGAAACTTTATTTTTGGATTCATACTGTCTGCCGATAAAGGCTAAATAAACTGTTAAAAGTCTAGCCATCCTTGATCTGGAGCTGACTTTCCAGCTCTATCCTCAGTGGTCTTCCACTAAGCCATTAAACTGTATTTGCCCATTTCAGACAATTGAAATCTTTGTGACATTTTAGGACCTGCTTAAGAAATCATCACTTTCCTTATCATTTTCCAAAAGATGTGGTTTCCCTATTTTGAGTGTCCATAGCACTTATCTCCATCTTAGTTGTGGCTTGAACAGCTAGCTATATGTTCATCAGCCTTGTTCCCTTTTCCTCTTGGGCATGTAGCTAAACTTCATTTCCCAGCTCACTGTCTCTTAGGTGGGTCCACGTTACTGGGCTCTTGCCCATAGAATGTGGGCCAAAGAATATACAATTTGAAGCCTGGCCCCAAAAGAGCTCCCACATAATCTTCATGCCCTTCTCTCATATCTCATCTGCCTGTAGGATTGAGAGGACCCCCGTGGGGTGACCAAGATTCTAGGGTATGAAGGAAAGTGACCAGGCCGAAGGGCCCCGGGTACCAAATGTCTTAATAGAAACTGACAAACCCTGGAAAGTGATGAGTGTTTTTATTGCATCAAACCGCTAAGATTTTGAGGTTGTTCATTACTGAAGTTATTCCACATTGACCAATTTATCAATGTGTATATTATGTTTTAGTCATTTACAATATGTGTCAGATGTCTTTTGTTTTCCACCGTACCTAGGGCAATGTTTTGGCATGGTAGAGATTTAAATACCTGATTCATGATCTAAAAACATCATCGTAAGTTCAAAGCTAATGGAGAAAGTTCTAAAGTCAGCATTAGATGAAATGTGATAGGAACTGAGGCGAGGGCCCTCAAAGTCGCTAGGGAAGCAGCGCTGGAGGCTAGGCGCCCAGGTATGGTCAACAGCCCTGCCAGGAGGTAATCCACATCACCGTGGTCAAGAGCCTCTTGAAAGAGAAAGGCTTCCCCTGAAGGAAACCAAGAGGGTCCAGAATCTGAAGATTTCACCTTCCTGCCAGGTTGTAAGAGAGAGGAAATCTGTGTCAAAATGCATCCTTAGAAGGATAACTTAGAAGTCTCAGGTGACCCTTTGAGGTCTAGTGATCACTGAAACTGATACTCAGAGGAAGTATTTGATGAGGAAACCGATACTCAGAGAGGTAAATTACTTTCCCAAAGTTCCTGATCCCACACTGGAATCTCCCCTATTATGCATATTTTTACTGCTATAGTTTAAATGATAAAATAAAATTTTGAAAATACCTTCTACAAGCAACAATTATTAAATACACCCTCTTCCTCCATCACAACTCCGTACTAAAAGATGAACTGAAACATATGTGTTATAAAACAGTGTATTTTATGTTGAAGAGGTATGTCACTATATTGTCTCAGATCGATGCTCCTTACATGTCAGCCCTTGGATACTGAAATGATTTAGTGGAAGGGGTACTTTATGAAACCATATGCACAAAAACATTCGTTCTGAAACACTGACAGAATCCACAGGTTCATAGTTCTGCATATTTATCCTCCTACTCCCCACACTGAACCAACTTTGTCTTCATTCCTCCCTCCTCTGACGCCTTCATACTCTTGACACATGCTTCCATTACCACTCGGGCATAAATCTCTCCCATGTGCAGTCTCCACCTACAACTCACTCCCATCCCACCCTTTCTCTCACTCTTCCAAACTAGCATCTGCCACCCACCTCCATCTCATAGAGTAAAGGGGAGAGATCTAACGCTAAGTGCCCATGTTTGCTTTTGGTGTTTCTGTGTTCCAAGAACCCCATTATACTGGTAATTATCTGTTCGTGTGTTTTCCCCCATGCAAGACTGAACTCGGTTAGCCTCAGGATCCAAAACAACACATATATATTTGACATTTATTCTTCCAACAAATGTACACAGAATGCTTAGGTGCTTTCCATACATTATTTCATCTAGTCATGCCAGCAGCACTTCAAAGGAAGCATTAGTATCCTCATTTCATAAGTCAAATGCCAAAAAACAATTGGTAAAAAGCAACATGATTCATATCCAGGTTGGGTTAATTCTAATATCAAATGTTTATGGACTCCCTTTGTTCGGTGCTAATTCCTGCTGTAACTTCTTTTCCACCTCTTCTTTCTGCCATCCCCCTCTAATTAACCTTTTTCTCTCTTCCACAGACATTGTTTATCTGCTGTCCTCTCTCTCTCCCTCGGACTAATGGTAAAATAGGAAATTGGGTTCTTCAATCGGCCAGCATTATTTCTAGAACAGTAATTTTCCATCTTCTTTCGGACTCCTGTTATCTGAAGTCTAGCTCTAAAATTACTGGTGGTGTTGTTTTTCTCTTCCCCCAACCCAAAGACAATATTACTATAGCATCTGATTTATTGTCTCCTTTGTATCCTGTGGTCAATAACTTAATAACGCATAAAAATGACCCTTTGTATTCCTCTAACTCTTGGTCTTTCAGACTTTTTGACTTAATAAAACTGCATGTCCATTCCTTTCCATGTAGTAAATAACTTTGTCACAACCTGGATCTCATCAACGTAGGGACAATTCCAACTTAGAGATCTCATAATTCCTATCATGTCTTGAATCATATTGCATTTACCAAAACTCTATCTTCCAAAACACTATTGTTTAGTCATTTATCTAAAAACTCTTGGCTTCCTAAAGTCAAGCGCCACTTCATTTTTCTCTACTCCTTCACTTGTCATGGGATTGAGGACCCTGCCTCTATAAATTAATAGTAAACACAGTGGAGGAAATATATGCAAGGACTTGGGATAAGTCTAGATTCAGTGTGCAATATTTATTCTGTAAAACAAGCTATTTTATAAGGCGTTAAAATAGTTTCATATCTATAGATGCCCATTTCTCGGTCTATAGTAGCTGTGCGCCTCTAGGGGACGCACTATCTCACAAAATCTAAGTGACGGGAGCGTGCCTAAAGGATGGGATCACTCTGGGGGTGTGGCCTCACAGGAGAACCTCAGCCCACAAAAATGAGTTTGGGTTAGAAACAGGTTACAAATCCGTTTAGATTCAGAGCGTTTAAAGAATATCTGTTGTGAGCCGAAACCGGTTCGCAACGCCAGGGCTGGGAGAGGTGAGCACCAACCAAGCACGCGGCAGATTGCTTTTCCCCCCTGAAGTGTCCTCAGCTGACTCAGCAAAAGTGGGTGGCGTTTGCAGAATCGCCAGCCCGAGAGTGTTCTTGTGGGGCGGTCTGTACAGCAGCAGCAGACTGAGTTGAATTCTGGACAAAGCATGCTGTGTGCCCCTTTCTGCAGAGCGAAAGTCACTCGGTACCTGTTACAATCAACTCATTATAAGAGCAGTGTCAGCAATGAGACTTTGAAAGCCTTAGCCATTAGTCCAGGAAAGGACTAATAATAACTGTGACAGGAGTTAGGTACGAAAACAGAAAGCTCACTTCCAGCTCTACTGTGCACACAACAGGCTTGCTGTTCTGTGGCGCAGACAGTAGTTGTGACCCCGTAAGAGTGGCCCCAGTTCTCTGAAGTGGATACTTCCAACTCACGCAGTCTTCTTTATTCTAACCTTCGACTTTTGTCATCAGTGGACGAAGGGCTGTTTGTTTTTGCAACATTATATTAGGAAACAAAAATTACGTAAGGCATCGAACATCAAATATGTAGTTAAAATTCTGCAGCTCTGGGGAGGCAGACACATTTCGGGGCGGGGGTGGGGGGAGAAAAACGCTGTCCCCAGTCTTTGGAAGCCCAGCGTTGCTCTCACCCAGAGCTGGCCGCGCCGCTCCGGCTGCCCCCGAAGACCCGGGAGAGCCCGGGCGTAGCCGCCCCGCCCCGCCCCGCGGGCCGGCGCTGAGGCTGCGGGGCCCGGGCCGCTGCTCCCCGCCGGGAGGGCGGCAGGCGCGCGCGGGGCTCTGCGTGTCCGCGCGTGTGTCCGCGCGTGGGAGATGAATTGGAGTCACACAACTGGGTGTTACCTTCTGAGTGGTTCTGATCCACAGTCCATTAGGGAGAGGGTCAAGGAAACTTTTTCTGCCTAAAAGGATGAAAACCGAGTAAGTACACCGGATTTTGAACTTGAAACGGAATGTAGCAACTACAAGCAAAACCCTAAAAGTAACCATGTCCATTCAAACCGTTTATTCCTGTTTTATATTAGAAGCCGTAAATGCTTACAGGAAAGTGGCAATTTAAAACTGAATGAAGGGAAGTAGTTAAGGAACTTGAAAGGCGGAAAGCAGGACTGCTTTTAAAAGCGGAGGAAAAATGAGGAACTGCTAGGGCAGGCTGGCCTGCGCCCAGCTGTGCAACAGGCGCTTTTGGTTTTAACCTATTGCGTTCTTCAGTGCTGATTTAGGCTCCAGACTTGCTCTGGTGTTGTCTTTTCTTTTCCTGTAAAGTCTTCACTGTGAGTTTGAGGATGTTGTGGACATAAGCCTTACCGGAAGCAACAGTTTGGCAGCCTGGGCAGTACATTCAGGTTATTAATTGCAACTATTATTATTTTGATGTCTTTTTTTTTTCCACCCCCCCAAACCCAGGCCAGCCACTTTTTACTGTCATCCATGGAAGGGCTTTTAGTAACCGCCTCAGACTTTTGGGACCTATAATTCTTTGGCATGACTCTTCGGAAAGTTCTTAAGTGGGATGGAGCAATCTTGATTTGAGTTGTGGAAAAAGAAGACAGATTTGTATTCTTCATGCTGACAAAAAGTAGCTGCTATGACTTTTCCGGCAACGTGGATAGGGGCCAAGTGAAGCTGAACTGGTCATGGTCTGTCGTCCAGTGTTCCTTTGTCGTCGGCGATTTTGCCCCCGGCCTTTCTTGGTGGCTTTGGTGGTGGCAATCTGTCTTTTCTACCAGACCCTGACACTCCGAGGGACGAAGAAGCTGCCCGGCACTGTCCCTGGGGCTGCCCCAAACACACCCTCCGAAACCCGGGCAGGCAGATGCAAGAAAGGATTCTCTGCGGACAAACAGTGCTTCCTTCTCTCCGGCGACGCTCAGGAAATCAGAAAGGTAAGACTGTCAGAAGTTAACCTTGACATTTTCTGCAAAGATAGCCTCTCGCTGTCCTTTCTATAAAAACTAAAATTAACTTCCATGAGGTCTGAAAGGGAGCCAGGGTATACACAACCCAGAGAGTGACCTTATGACTGTGAAACACATGTTAGCTTCAACATCTTACTTCCAGAAAGTCCTGGCCATTATTTTATCCCTTAGAATTTCACTTCATTTCACCGGAATGAAATAGACAGTTTGGAGGAGGTAGGAATGATGCGAATGCTTTCTAAAATATTAGGATTCTAATAGACCTACAGATTTAAAATTTAGGAATATAAATCAGAGTTTCCTAAAATCTGATAAACACTGAGTGTCTCTTTCCTTAGGGCAGTCAGTATGAATGACCAGACCACTCCAGGCTTAAAGATACTCCAAAACTTCAATTTGTAATAGGTTAAATCAATTTTACATTGGTGGACACATTTCTAGAGCAAATATTTATTTCTGAAGCATTTAAAAGAAAAATATAATAGGGTTCTTCAAAATAACTGACACACTGTATTTTATTCCTTAAAGAAATAGGAAAATACAGATTACACTATGCTAATTAACTTTACTAATTTCACTTGTCAAGCTGTTGGAGAAAACACATAAAACACTCAAAATTTCTGCTTTAATATACCACTCTGTTTATGCCTGTCAGTGAAATGATGCCATTTAAAATAGTTCAACCTAAAAGAGAAAAAGAAAAACACAGTCAAAATTCAGAGTAGCAAAGTCAATGACTTCTATGCTACAGCAGGTGTTATAGCAAGATATTTTAGAAATCTATCAAGTACTATCTTACTTTTGCAGTAAATCCTATGATCATGGTTATTGTTTGGAGCAGAATTTCTCATTAAATATCAGCAGTACTTCTACCAGTATTGCTAACACCTCCAGCACCAGCACTGTCTTACTTTAAAAACTCTTACGGATTTCGTATCAGACTTAAAACCCTGTGAGGTAGATAAGGTAGGTCTCAGTGTCATTATTTTACAGACAAGATGACTGACACCCAAAGGTGTCAGGCAGGCCACTGGGCCAGTGTTCTGATATGACCTGGTTGGTACTGCAGGTCTGATGCTCTGAATAAAAATAAGTTCAAAGCTCTAATAATAATTTGTAAAACCACAACTCTAAGAACTTATTGAAATGCAAAATAATATTATGTTAGAACAAAGAAAATTAAAACTTTTAACTAAATGGTTTATTTTATCAATAATGTCAAGAAGAATCTTAACCAAGAAATATGTGATGCAAAAAATAGCAGATAATGACTTAACTTAAAAACACTTCTAGATGAAATTCAACTGCAAATGTGAATCAGTTATTAAATACTTCAAAGTAATTGAAGAATGTGCATTTTTGTTCATTTATAGTAGGATTAACTTAACTCTTGCAATTTTTGTGGTTTTTTGAGTATATCAAATTTATTATGGGTGCAAACCAACTTTTGAAAGTCACTTCTTATTTGTTTCTAATATTAAATACAATTTCTTTAAAAATAGTTCAGATGGTTTTGCTCTTTAAGTTCCTAAAATTCTTGCCGAGAATTTGGGACAAAATGGTTTTTATTCATTGACTTATAGCCCTTCTTATCCCTACTTGACTTTATGTGAGTCCTGCTTTTGTCTGTAACTTAAGCATATGTTAACTGTTATTTCTAGGCTGTCACAGAAAATTCCATTTGAGCTTTGGATCTCTGGCTACTTAAAAACCATCTGAAACATATTGGCTGCTTGTGTAAAACATTCGCTCTAGAATTTTCTTCACAAAAAAATGACAAACACATGACGATTTCTTTTCATGTTGTTGACAGTCTTAAATATTTTGACCATAAGCAAGATTCTAAACTCACAGTTACAGTCCAGAAATCCAGTAGATACGAACACTGAATCTCTAAACATTTACCACTTAAAAGTCTATTTTTAACTTAACTTGTGCCAGCCATTGGTTTAGAGCCATTTTTTAAATCAGAGATAGAAAGGAAGTTAGATGTGGAAGTTAGTTTAAATCAGATATAATTTAGTTATTCTTTTAGTAAACGAAGCAAAAGAGAATTGAATAATAATATAGTTTCGATAATTAATATTCTTTCTGATAGCTTAAGTGAAGAAAGAAATGCCTTTGAGGTCAACATATAGATTATTCTCACGTAAAGCTACTTATTAAAGTTTATTTTAAAATAACCGATGAGATGCTACCTAGATTTTCCTTAAGATGCTTAAGACCTAAAACATAGCTTTTAGGACTTTTGTAGAAGAAGTATTACTGCTATCTATAAAATTTGGGTTTTGTTTTTACCTTGATTAGCATACCAAAATATGCTTATTACTAGGGCTTTCCCTTACTTATGTCCATCCATCTTTAAGTGATTTGTAAAGTTACTTAAAACAGGTGGATTTGACCTGAGTTTTATGGATTCTAGAAAGTTTTTTGTTTAAATCTATAAGGTATCTACTGAACTCAAGCATTTTATGGAAAATATTATGTATATATGTATGTGCAGTTTTCTGGGAAAAAATCGTGATTCCCTTCAGATATTCAGACCTAAAGAAACAGCAAGAAATGTGAAAAATGCTTGAAAAGCAGTACATTTGAACTTGAAACTAACTGCCTCTCCAGAAAGTAGAAGTTGCATCTGGATTTATAAGTCTTAAAAAGGAGAAAAATTCTTGAAGAATCCACTGGCGGACATTTGAAAAAGCGATTTAATGAATGCTATAGAGTCTGCAGGAATATATATTCGGAAATCAAATTATAACTCATGGAGTACTTCTTGAATCATAGTTTTCAAGCTTTCTTGAATGAGCAATGAGTATGTCCTAGTCTTTTGGTTTCAGATGTTTCTAAAAGATGACCTTTTGTACTGCATCAGCCCAGCAACAGAGGGTTCTGTAGTAGTAATATTTAAAGGTGAACTCCCTTTACGTCTTTACAACTGGGATCTGGTTCAATGTCTAAAACTGTTTTCAGTATAGATTGAGATCATGGTATAGTATATGCCAACTTTCCAAAGTGAGGAAGTACTCTCCCTCTTTCTGGCCAAATTTTAACTCTTTTTTCCATTTTAACTTCCCAAGGAGACTTGCTAAGCAGATGTACTTTTGTAATTTCTTCTGGGTTTTCTCCCAACATAACTTTGTTTGAATTTTGGCTGGTAATTTGATGTTGTCTTAAAATTATATCAATTTAATATATAAACTGAAGACAATTTCAGTTGTCCTCACTGAAGTAGGTCACTCAGTAGATTTACATATTTTTACGGAATCTAACACTTTAATATGTATTTTGTAACATAGGAAGACATAAATTACAAACAGAAACAATGGAAGAAAATCTCCTTAGTATGTGCTCCTTTAGTGGAAACTTTGCTATTTGGGGAACACGTTCATACTTACCCTAGCCATGTGTTTCTGATTATGTCCTGTTGATGTTCTAGAAGGAGAATTACCATTTTTTTGTTGTTTGACTGTTCGTTTTCCATTCTTCTTGACTTCATTTTCCTTCAGTGACTCTTCTTTACAATTACTCTTTCCAGCATCCACCCGTAACTAAATGAATATTTTCACTACAAATATGTCCTTTTGTTTTGTGCTTCTAATAATGTGCTTCTAAATATCTTCAAAGATATTTAACATTTGAAAATTTCTAAAAATTACTTGTTTAAATCAGCTTTTCTAGAAATAGAAGCAGAGGTATACACTTAAGGCTAACACTTTATTTAATGGTACAATCCCAGAATGTAAGAGAGGAAAAAGGAAGAAAGAAAGCAAACACAAATGGGTGCATTATTGAAAGACATTATGAGGGAGGCCATGTTAAACTACTGCATATCAGAACAGGCTCTGGGGTAAGTGGGCAAGAAGGGCTAGTATTTATTCTTCTGGTTTTCCCCTTCTTCTGTCTTTCATTGGCTAGAGTTTGTCCCATCTTACTTCTAAATAGTGTTACCGGGAGTCTCTGGGCAGCCATTTGGGAGCCAGGGCCTCAGTGGTACAGCCCTGCCTCAGGGCAAAGGGGATCTGCTCCCTCCTTTTATATCTCTATCTATCTCTGTCTCTGCCGCTGTTTCTATCTCTATCTATATTTCTATTTTTATTCCTATTTCCATCTATCTATTTCTCTATATATCTCCTCACCCAAGGACATTTTTTTTTTCATTGCTTTTAGAGAGAGAGGAAGGGAGAGAGAAAATCATTGATGTCAGAGAGAAACATTGATTAGTTGCCTCTATATGCGTCTGGACCAGGGATCGTAGGTGTCATGACCGGGAATCAGACTTGCAGCCTTTTGGTTATGGGACAACACTTCAACCAACTTGAGCCACGCTGGCCAGAAACTCCCTCCTTTTCCATCGGTACTGTTCATAGGAGCTCCCAGGTCTGTGGCAGCCGAGGTAGTAAAAAGAATTTCCATAGCTTACCACAATAAATGGCCTGAGTGATATGCACTGGAGGGGTGTGTGAGGCAAGATGATCTAGTGTCTGATACTGTAGTTTTGCTAATTTCACTTTCTAAAATCCATAGAAAATGCCAAAATGTGCCCTTACTCTTGGGAAATGGCATAGCTTTCTTTAAGTGAAATGTTTGTAATTATCTCACTGAGAACTCTCCTCTTTCTCATCCCATTCATTTATTAATTTACTTATTCATTTTCTACATTCATTAAGTAAATTTATTGAGTAGTTTACATGTGTACAAATAGGTTTATATTATAAAGAGAACACTCCAGAAGGCACATTGCAGAATGGACTGAATGGATAGAATTGAAGGTAGATAGAGAAGTTGGGAGGCAATTTCAAAATATTAGTACCACTTCGTTGCCAAATCTTCCTTTCCTCTTGTGTTCTTGAACATGCTTTTTCAACCTTTTCCAGACTGATTCCAGTGTTACTCTGTATTACTTACAATATTTGAGTTACTCTCTGTTAGTCACAATATTACAATTTATGTTATGTTATGTTATGTTA